CTGGGGAGAAAGCAAAGGGTCCAGGGAAGACTGAGATAGCCCTTAGGAGATTCTGACAAAGCAGAAGGCAGGCGGGACATCCCTGTGCCAACACAGATACTGCCTAGGAAAAAATAAAAACCTTCAACTTTTAATATGTTTGATAAAATTCTGTTGCTATAAAAATTAATTTCCTTTGCATTCATGAACACCTCAACAGTTTGTAATATCAATGAAGTCACTGCACAAAAAAAAGTAGGAACCTATAATGAATCAAAAAATATGCTATAATACATAAAGGACCTATTTCAAAGAACATCAAAGGATATTTTTATTGCCTCAATTCTAAATATTCTATCCTTAATTAGAGCAGAACAGGAATTCAGATGCCTAATTAGACTTGAAAAGCACTAGGCACCAAGACACTGATGTAGAGACGCTAAGCAAAAGACATGGTCAATGATACTGGAAATTGCTATTAGACATTGTGGGGTTTAAACTTCATTGTCAACTTCACTGGCTTGGGAATCGAGGAGGACATACGTCACTGGGCATATCAATGAAGCACGGCACTTGAGCAGTAACTGAACTTGCGTCTTGATCAGGAAGTAGAATGCAGAGAGAGCAAACCGGAAATGGTATGGGCTTTGGAAACCTCCAAGCCTACCCCAAGTGACACACCTGCTCTAACAAGGCTACACTGCCTAATCCTTTTCAGACAGGTCTACCAACTGGAGAAGAAGTATGCAAATCCACAAGTGAGTGGGACCAAACCATTCAAAACACCATTAGGTGAAAGAAAAATGTTTTCCTTTTTTTTTTTTTTGTCTCATTGTTTCCATGTCTGGCAGGTGAGTTCATCTGTCCCCACGCCTGCTCTGGGGGGCAGCTTTTCCTGATACTGTATTCTGTTGCTGATATCAGAGTTTAGCATCTTTGGGCTTCAAGTATTGACTGAAGATGGATGGCTCCCCAGCAATCTTCTAAGTTTCAAAGTCAGGGTGGGCCTACTGATACATCTAGTTTTGTGGGTTGAGGACCCCTTAGAGTCTTAGCCACTTCAGTGTGAAACAGCAAGACTATAGTACATAAGACAGTCTAATTAATTGCATTTTATTATATTTTAATTTTATTAGTTTTGTTCCTCTAGTATTTACTACTCCTCTGGTATCATGAACCATGATAAATACAGGCACAAACTCATCTATTTCTAGAACAATAACATTTTAAGGACTATTCATTGGCCATTTATAGTATTTCTTAAATAAACAGTAATTTTTTATTTGAATATGGAGCATTAGAGTACTCTTCGCATCAAGAGTAAGCTATTATTTTCAATGATGGATAAGAAAGAAGGAAATAGTATTATTGAATTAGTACATATCGTAAAAATTAGTTGACTCTAAAACAAGGGCAGTCTTCAAAGGAGACATTTAATATTTTCTGCACAAAGCTAAAACCAGCTGCATATGGACTGAAAAGTCAAACAGTTTTGCATATTTTTTGCACAGTTCTCACAAATCACCTTAATCATCTTTAGTAAGGTGACATGGAATATTCCATTTTGTTATTATAATTCATTAATAGAAGGCATAGGACCCAAAACTGAAATAATAACTTATTTTAACAGTCCTGAGCTTTTGAACATTCTTACTATTTTATGTCATGGAACTGTCACTGTATAACCTAAAATTGACAGAAGTTACGTCAACTCATCAAAAATTGGGTGAAGATGAGCTTACAGACGTGCTAAGGATTCTACCCCAGGATTCCAAAGAGCTGCACATGTATGAACATATTTTAGTCTGGTGAAAATCTAATGTCAAGTGCAGTTAGCGTAAGAGCAGTCTTTGTCTCTGAGATTAGTAACTCTATGTTGTCATTACCTCAGAAGGACAGCTAAATATATACAGACTTGGTGCCATTGCCATTCAGTGCTCTATGGGATGAGTTCTAGGTGTCCTCCTCTAAAATGTATCAATGTTATTTCCCCAATTACAGTTTTTATTAGCTAATAATTTTTCTAACTCATGGAGACATGTTTCCATTACTGAAATTATTCCCCTTTGAGATCACAGATTTGGAAGCATTATCTTGTCATGCATCCAAGTTAGGTGTTGGGAGCAGTGAGACCCCAGATCCTGAATTTCTTGTAAACCATTTGTTTTCCCCCTGATCTGAGTACCTACAGCTGCTCTGAGCACAAGAACTTCAGGAGTTCCTGATGGCAGGAATGTTCTGGTGCGTTTGGCTGGGACGTGGCTATCTCTATATAATCTGCCCCTGAACACAATAAAGGGGGCATTTTAGGGGCTTTGGTATCAGTGTTAAAAGGTCTGCGTCTCTGCGTCTGTGTTCTCAAGCTCCAGCCCCTTGCCCAAAGCTTGCGAACTGGGTTCTAGTGCACAGAGTGGAGACAAGGGGGCGAGGAGCATGGCAGTTAGGTTCTTTTAAAAATGGAACTTCGTTGACTAGCTGGGGACTTGCTAAGGCAAACCAACATCCCCTTGGTGTTGGAAGTTGATTTACTTATCATTTCTCCTTTTTCTGTCTCTTTATTATTTATTTTAAAATTTCACTGTATTTGATCTTAGTAAAATTGACAGTCTTATTCAGCTTCAGGACTTTTCTATTGTGAGTACTCACAAAAATGTGATGCTTAACTTTGGGATATATTATAAACTTATTTTAAAAGTTTCAAAATAAAGTTTCACGAATCTTTTATCTATTTATTCACTGAATTGGTCAATTTTTTTCAAATTGGTTAAAATATCCAAGGTGCATTAAAGTGTTAAATGTTTTGATGCCCTTTGTGAAAGCCCAAACATTAGCGATGACAATTTCCATTTCATTATTTATAAAACTTTTCTATTCCCTACTAGATTAAAGAGTTTTTCCCCAAATATAAGTGTATTCTTTCCGCGATTGAAGGGCATTAAAATGCAATATAGAAGATTGACAGTTTTTCAACTGAAGGATTTAGCAGCCATTCTAATTATCTCCAGCCATCAGAAAGTCTGTGCACTGGTGCGGTCTGTACAGCTGATTCTTCTTCATCTCAATTCTAGACCCACTGAGTCATTGTTATTTATTTTTATAACATTTTTTCTTTGTACTTTTAATTTTTTGAGACTATAACACAATCACATCATTTTCCCTCCCCTTTTATCTCTCCAAACCCTCCTGTTCACACTCCTTTCCTCTGCCCTCTTTCAAATTTATGGCCTCTTTTATATATACACACACACACACACACACACACAAACACACACACACACTAGTTTCTTAAATATGTAAACAACCCTGCTCTGTCTAAATAATGTTTCCTACATGTCCATGTTTTCAGGTATTGCACAGCTAATTGATATGTCCTTCCCTGGGGAACACTATTCTACAACTCCTAGCAATCTGTAGTTGCCTACAATTATTTGTCTGTGATTGAGTCCTCATGAACTTCCCACTTTCCAACTTAAAATGTCTATTGGTGACATCCTTGCTCAAATTATGTTAAGCCAGCCAGTCGTGTTGGTGAGATTTCATGGGTGTAGATTTTGACATTCCTCGGTCTTACAGCACACTGTCTGTTCCTCTGACTTGTACTCCTTCCTCCCCATTTTCTTCAGTTATCTCTGTGTGTCAGACGCACATGCTGTTTTGTAGATACATCAGTTATGACTGTGTGATGATATTTTGTTTATAATTTAACAAATAAGCTTGCCTGAAGATCAGAGTGCAAAGCTAACCACACTAGTTAGCCATACAGGCCAGGCAGTGGTGGTGCATGCCTTTTAAAGGAGCACTAGAGAGGACCAGAAGGTGGAATGAAACAGAAACTCGCTCTGTTTTCTGTCTGAAGATTTTTCATAGAGGTAAGAGCTTTCTAGTGGCTAGTTGTTTGCTTTTCTGATTTTCATCTTTAACAGCCAACATCAGTCTCTGGGTTTTTAGTTAGTAGCGCTACATCTAGCACCCATTGTTTGGGATACAAATTCACTAAAAAGCACCACCCAACCGGCTAGGTTTTCCTTTCTTTTCTCTTGCTGGTTTTTCCCTGAACCCCCTTCTCACGTTGTTGTCGAACTAGGTAGCTGCCTTGAGACCCAGACAGGCTTTTACTTCCTATGCAGCAGCAATAAGCATCACATCTTCATTGTCGTTGGTGGCGGATTTGTGAAAACACTGGAAATTTATTAAGGCAGGAACTAGTTAAAAGGGAGAGTGTTTTCCCTCATGTTACAAAATGGGAAACACAATTATGATAAGGAATGTTAGGTCTCTACATGATTATGCAATGCCTGATTTTAAAAAGGAACATCTAAATGAAGGGGTAATCAACTTAACCAGGATGGACATACTGTTAATTATCATGTTCATAAAACTTGTTGTCTTGATAACTCTTGGGGATATGGGATGACCCTCTGTATGCTATAACTGTTTTATTACCATTGGTTAATAAAGAAGCTGCTTTGACCTATGACAGTCAGAACAGAGCTAGGCAAGAAAATTAAACTGAATGGAGGGAGAAAGAAGGCAGACTCAGGCAGATGCCATGTAGCTGTTGAAGGAAAAGGTTGACAGAATTTAACGGGTAAAATTCTTACAGCCTTGTGGTGATACATCAGAATTCAATCCCTGGTGCTTGTTTGACATGTGATTTTCCATCTGAGCCATCTATACGTTCCTTAAGGAAATGCATAAAGACATTTGGAACACAGGAAAATGTAAAAAGACAAACAGCTGTGAATTCAGACGGCGAACAGGAATAAGTCACTTACTAACTTAGACTGGGGCTGCTTTATCTTTCCCGCTGTCATTGCTCTACCACCTTCACTTAAAAAGATGTCTGTATTTTGGGGATAAGGTCCTAAAGGCAGCAATCTAAGTCTTCCTGACAAAATGACCAAAGGTGCTTCATCCTTAAGCATAATCTTCTACCAAATTTATTTAGCTAAATTCTTCTTTCTTTCTTTCCTTCTTTTTTCCTCTTTTTGTCATATCAATAATGAATCTCTGGTAAAGAA